TCGTCTAATCAAAACATTCGAAGTTTTTGAATCACCAACACTAATGGAAGGTATTGGGTTAATATAGAGGCAAACAACTGACTTTATTTTGCAAGCAGTAGGCAGTGGAAAGCTTGGATCAAGAAAGGAAAGCAAAGCTAGAGATAAGGGTACATCTTTTAGCAAACTAACCAAATCTTGTTGTGTACCTTCTTAACGGATAAAAGTTATGTTAACAGGACCTTTCTCTGAAGGGAAATTGACAAAAGTATCTACCAAGCCAAAAGTCTCCTGTTAATATAGACTACGGTACCTGGGGCAAGATTCCAACGCTGTAGAGCAACAAAGTATTTAAAAGTAACGTCATCTAGTGGCTAAGCGAATTGGGCCTGGGCAGCTCACTCTGAAATTTCAATAATATAAGAGACATGAAGGTTTAGAGGGAATCGTGATGTATTCCAATAATAACAGCAGAGATTAAGGGGGCAATCAGAGCAAATGTGCCAAAGACAGTCTGAATTCATACTAATCGCTAGGCTCTACATTTTTTAGTATTCATATAGGAATTGATAATCGCATGGTACATATTTCGATGCAGATGAAGACTATCGGAACCTTTTAATGATATATCCATAGATTCTGGTTGCCAGGTGACAGTAAAGGTGCTAGCACAGGATAATGCGCGGTCGAAATTTGAACATTTATCGTGGGTGAAGTGTCAAGGATTTGACTCAAGTGACTTTGCAGAAGAATACTCCAAGAAGAGTTGACATATTGTTCTAGAATTATTCTGCAAGAAGAATGATGTACCTGATCAAATACTTACATAAAGCTAAGCTGTATGTGGGAAAAGTAAATCTGGGACCGAAACTGAGCCCAGCACATCCCCAAGGCATAAGTTCAGGTAGAATAACACGGCGGAGTATGTGAATGGGGCCTAAAAACTTTCCAATAAATTGGAGATCATTATGAACAAAGGCCTATATCAATTAAAGTCTTTTCACTGTTGTTAATTTTGAAAAAGTAGCTTGGTTTTGTTCACTATTCAACTGTAGGATCTTCAAAGAGATCTGTAGGAGAATCCTTACTAATAATTGCTGAGATTCGAGCATTTGCGTCAAATGGCTTTGAGATCAATGTGCCATCCAAAAAGATCATCTAATTTCCTTTTAGTAATGCCGTATTAAGGTTATACAATAAATAATACGCGTCATATTTCGATCGAGCACTCACAGCAAGAACCCTCTGGATTTACAGGCAAAAATATGACAAGTTTACTAGTTCCTCACAGTCTCACGGCTTAGAGTGTTAGAGACTAAGATGAATACATTAAGTTAAGGGCTTATATGGGTATATAGACAGGTCAGAAGTTCATCTCGTGGTCCACGTTCAATTCCAGACAGTGGTATCAAGTTATCACTGTTGAGTAGAAGACAGTCTCTTTGTGTAACGGGCACACTGCGTTGGGGACAGTTAGAAGACAATGCCCTCCGGAGAAAATATGGCAATCAAAACGGGCAACTTGATAATGTCTCGATAGAACATTCCAATTCTAGTTGTTGTCTGCTTGGTTATGGCTACTTAGCACAATAAACATAGGTGTGATAGATAAAATGAAGATATATGCTTTGCTGTATTATCGTGAGCTGCTTTAAAACCTATGTTTCTACGTAAGTAAGGGCAACAACACAAGTAAACTGTAAACAAGTAGAAATTGTGCCATTCAGGCAATGACATCATGACAACTATTAATGCTAACAGTTGAAAGACGTTCTTCATATTAACCCGTTTCTACGGATTCGCAATACATCAAGGCCATTTTCGATTGGTTTTAGAGTTCCTATCTTTAATTCATGATTAGGTATTATGCCAGTAAGAGGCACCCTATTGTGGTGTGAAATCAATCTAAGGCTAGAAGATTTACGGATCAGCATCGAAATGTCTTTATGTTTGATCTTTCCGCAATGTTTTCGCGCTCCACTGTAATCATGCGATATATGAATGTTTATCAATGAGCTTTTACCGTACATCGGATAGAAAAGACTTAAGCCAATCAAACCAAACAGAGGCGGAAACATCGAAGAGAGAGATCCAGATTTTTGAGATGCAAAGTAAAGCAAGGATGTGATGTAATCTGATGAAAGGACGGGAGGGAAAACAGTAAGAATTAATGTCACTAATGATCCGGAAAACACACAACTCGAGTATAATTTTATTATTATACTCAAAACTAAATGTGTTTTAGATGAAAATCCCCCGTAAATCTTGAGTGGCATTAACAATTTGAATGGTATCAGAGAAAGTCCGGCCTTTGTGTCGCATTTTCTGATCTTAAAGACTATGCCATTATAACCTATCATAAAATCATAACAAACAGCCTCCAAATTAACTACGAATGCTCCTTCACCAACCCTCCAAAATTAATACTGTTGATTTAATGTCGTTTGTATTTCGATTTTGTGAATAACTTTCAATGATAACTGGTATAACCTGTTGACAATTAGGCAACACTGATAATTACAAGCGTGGGGAATTGTTGGTTATAAATAGGCCAGGTAGACAACTGTCATAACAAGTGGCATAAGCAATAACAATCAAGTTTACGATTTAATATCATTTTATTAAGGATATTGAAGAGACAGTCGTATCAAATGATCCTTTAAACATAGGCACAAACTTTCAAAAAGCAAAATTTGAGTCCATTGACTAAAAATTCATAAAAAGGATTTGATATTTTGTAAGTCTCAGCATTATTAGTTGGTGCAATTATCACTTTCTCGCAAACAGGAATATAGCAATAGAGAAACTATAAAACCAGATAAAAGTTAATGGATACAGTATTGTGAGGTTTTACTCTGAATTTTATCAAAAATCTTTTGTTGTTTTTTTTTCGATTTTGAAATCTTCATTGGTGCCTCGTCGTGGTTCTTCATAAGAAACAGCTACATCAATCTATATCCGTTAATGAGTCGCGGGTAGGCAGTTTGTCCGCGACGCGCTATTTACTCAACTATCTAGTTTTGATCAATAGGTGGAAATTCATTAACGAATGTGTGAAATTTGACAAACAGTTTACCGTTTTGTATATTTCAACTTTGAGGGAATGATAGCTGCAGCTGACTCCTTTCAGAAAAACAGCTTTGCAGTGAGAAGATTTTAATTATAGCTACGAAAAAATCATTAGCTTGAAAAAGCTTTGAATGGACATTCTGGAAATGTGACAAAGTATTAATAGGCAGATAACAGCTTCTGATCTTCTATCTCACTTTTAAAATTTTCCTATCTATAAAACATGTTTTGCATTTCGCGGCTTTCAGAAACTGAATAAAGAAATTAGATAATCAGTTAAACAATCAAATGTAGGTATATCGCGAAATACTCGCAGCTTGAAAGGATATTCATCATTGTTGCTTAATGGCATTTTCGCACCACACTCAAAAGAATGTGCGATGTATTAATGTGGATACGAAAGAACACACAAGAGCTGAATAAGATGAAGAGAATTGACAACAGTCGGTAACAACATGCATTCTTATCGTACAAATTGGGTGTTAGATGAAGGATAATCCCCGAAGGCAATGAAATTAACGCGACAAACAGGTGGATAGAAGAAAAGCTTAAGGGGCACATCAGTGATAGCATTCGCTTCTGGTAACGAGCTTTTACTTAAACAAAAAATTGAAAAACAACATTGCAAGGCGCCTGGTCTTAGGCACATTGAGAAGACTATAAAGGTTTTGAAAATGTACATGTTGAGAAAAAGCAATGCCTGCCAAATTATTTGCAACATTCTTGTGTTTTGCATTGCTTTTCATAAATCTATAAGAATTCGTACACAAACAAAACCCTGATTTCAACAAACATATGTCTTTGGTTGGCTTTCAGAAATGTTAAATAAAGAAAAATTGAGATAAGAATTAACGACTAAATGGAAATAGAGAATGTTTATCTAATTAGAAAGAGAATTTTAAAGATTTAAACGTCATCTTTAAATGAGATACATTAGAACGATTTACTTGTATTAATTCGGAAAAGTTATCGTTGACAAATATAAATAGTTTTGACACTGATGACCCATGTCGGTTCCTTTTTGGCTGCAAAGTCAGACACAAAACCTGACAGCTTTAATCTGTTTGTTGAGATAAGGGCTACGTCAGACTAGTACCAGGTCCCTTTGAGGCCTTTAGAAAAGAGAGCCTAAAAAGAAATATGCTAGGCTGGCTTATGAAATGTAATAGGTTTTATTGTTTAGGACCAGTTGAAGACATTAGCAGGTAATACAGGGAGACTAGACAAATTATCTCTCTGAAAGCAATTACAAGAAAGAGGATCAACAATGTCATTCCCCATTATTCCGTCTCTGCCAGAGATTGATAAGTGTAACTATTTCAATAAGATACGCTGATTTGTTGATAGCAGACAAAAAGATGGTTTCAGCAATACTGAGATATCTGTACTTTTGGTGAAAAAACACCGGAAATATTGCCAGCAAACTCAGTAACCACTCCCAACGAGATACAGGAATCCTATATTGTGAACACAATCATTTTCAAGATTAGCCATCGCTCGTACTGAGTGGGTTATCAGGACCATGCTACTTGCTAGACTGCTTACATCTTACTACAGCTGGGAAAACCTTGTTTTCTAAACTGCCTACCCTGTAGTATCATCGTATGTACATAGGTTTCTGTATCATCTCTTCAATTCCACAGCAAATTTGCCTGGCTTGTTTAAATGTTGTACCACAGTCTCATAGAAGGGTATTTTAAGTTGGCTTCTTGGATTTCTATCCTCCCTCTATAATGCTACATCTCCATGGTAGAAAAATTTAGATTTTTCAATCTCTAATTTCATTATTTCTTTAAATGAAAGTTTCGTTATTTACAATAGGAATCCAAATCACTTTCAGATCATTGAAACATCATTTTATCCCACATAACATAACATTAGCCATTAGAGCAGTGGTAGCAATGAAAATGATAAACGCTTGCAGATACTAATGTTTATGTTTATTTCCTCAGACGAATGTTCCCTGTTTTAAAGACAACGATTCGAGGACTGGATCCTCAGGCTATGTATTCCATTCTTTTGGATTTCGTTGCTGTTGATTCACATAGATGGAAGTACGTTAATGGCGAATGGTCACACAGTGGTAAGCCTGAACCAACTCCTCCGAGTCAGGTATACGTGCATCCGGACTCACCAAACTTCGGAACTCATTGGATGAAAAACCCCATAGTCTTCTCTAAAGTCAAGTTAACTAACAAAGAAAGCAGCAACAACCAAGTGGTAGGTAGCAAAAACACTAAATTAGATTTCGAAACTTTTAAACTTTAGATGAAAAATTTGAATATGCAATTAAAAACATAGGGCTATTGGTCTGAGTCAAGGTCTGTAGTCTTACATAGCATATCCATCATTCATTTAATCGGGAATAATCTTGAAAGGCCCACGCATATTATACAGGTAGGAGCAGTAACCAAAACACTAAAGCAAGGCAACTGGTACTTTCGCAAAGTAGAAACAATTAAAAAACATAGGGCTCTATACAGATTATCAAATAATTCATTATGCTTTGAAATTTAAAGAGAGTTAGACAAATACTATGAATATAATATTCAAGTGTTTGTAAGATTCAGCAATATTGTGATTAAAAATGTGGGTAACCAAGGTGTTCTGATGATCTAATTGAGACAATACATCGTGGTTTACACATTTCATCATGATCTACTTGAAAACAGGCCATGTGATGAAATATAATTAAAAATACAAAAGAAACGAGTGTTTACTTGGTATTCATGCTTATTGCAACTTTAAATATGTATTTATACCATTTCTTTGATAATAGCCGCCACTTGGTAAATGGCTGCTTTTTCAGAAACAATCTAACCTGCACCACCAAACCTATTCCCCACAAAGATAATTGAACAAACGAATCGTCAACATGTATCTTGTAATTACATACAGGTTGCTTTATTTTCGTTTCAATAGTTGAATACCAAATGAATGTCACTTCAAATGTGTGATATCTTTACCAAAACTGGTAGCTTAATGCCTGACAATTCTTTGTGACAGTTTTGAACAATCAAGTAATTTCACAGATGGATGGTAATACCAGCCAAGTTTTTGACATCTTCAGACATGTTTACATGGAACTCTAAAAACACGTTTTAAGTAACAGCATACGCGTATTGGATAGCAGGCACTTTAATTCGATCAGTTGGTAGTCGCATAGCTAACTTGAAAGTGATGAGAATAATACCATACAAAGCCTTGTCCTACAATTGAGTTTTCATTCAATATCAATTTTCATGTGTATAAATATCTTTAGAACGTATTCATTAGGCAAAATATTTGATCGCCTTCTTTCTATTAGCAGTCACAGAATCAATTGCTTGACATAATAATTAAAAATGATGACAACGAGTTTGATTGCGATAACAACAAAAACTAAAATGTGAGAATTGTAATTTGGTTCGCTAGCCAATGTTTTGTAAGTGTTTTCGAATGTAAAGCGAAGCGTAGACAATATACTGGCTTGGCATCACCTGGCTTCACTTAGCAGGCTAATTGATGAGTTTAGGCCTTGTGGATTGAGTGTTAAACGACAGTGCTTGAAAAGCAATAGAAATAGTTGACAACAGGCAAAAGGAAAAAAATCCAAAGAAAAGAGAAAATATTTCATGCATATTTATTATGCATAAAGACTCATTTCATATTTTACATCCAGTTATCTAACTTTCTAAATGTACTTAGCTCGTCTTCACTTTTTTAAACAACGCAAAAAAAGTTGATTCGCTAAAAAAGTTATCATCAAAATAGGCACTCGTTTTTCCAAGAGTCGTTTTACCGGAAGCCACTTGGAGCAAGGAGCATCTTTGTTAAGATTAATGAGAATAACACAGGTAGTAAATTTAGAAGCAGTAACGACAAAAATACCATTTCCATGTTGCCGATATATAAAGTTAGGAACATGGATGCTCACGATTTCCACAGAAGCTGCGGTACCTAAACAAAAAAGTTTGAGCTGTGCGGACTTTGGCTTTCATCCCATTATGATAAAAATATTTTTTACTTTAAGGTGATGCTCAATTCACTGCACAAGTATGAGCCTAGAATTCACATCATGCGAGTAGGTGGACCAGACCCAGAGAAGAGAGTTTCCACGCATACATTTGCAGAAACCCAATTCATTGCAGTTACAGCTTACCAAAACGAAGAGGTAAGCACTTACTTGAAAAACCAATTATTGTTTCTTTCACAAAGACTAGGATCTTCTTTCTCGGACATATTTTATACGTTGGGAAACTTATCTATAGGATAGTTGCATACCAACTGCTATTTATGAAGACCTTATTTAGCACCCACTTCCTGCTCTAGAATATCGATGTAAAGGTGTGAAAAGAAACACAGTTGCGCATTTTGGCTAGCTTGCACTTTGATGAAAAAAGGTAAAACCTGTTCACAGGTGCCTGGAAACGTGAACTTTCTTCAACATAAATATAGAAGATTATAACCCATTTGTACGAAGTTCGGTCCCTCTGAAGGAGTTTGTGCCAAGCGCTACAAGAATGAATAAGCAAAGTCCCACGCAAATCCGAAATTCGGCATCGTTTAACGCGATTCAAATGGATGGTCGGTCGCAAAAGACTTTGATGTCAAAACAAATTCACATGTCTTGAGCAGAAATCTCCATTCTCTCAGTTTCCATGTCCATTGAAAGTTATTCATTGGCGCTTTAATCAAAACGTTAGAAATGCGAACAGAACTCTTTGACTTAAAACGGATAGGAGCGCATAAAACACTAGCGTACAATGGACATAATAAATCTTAATAAAAACATTATTAAAACGAGCCGATGAGCGATCGATCAATAATAACTGTTTATATACTTAAAGGATTTAGACAATCTATGTAATGAGGGCATTTTATAGCAAGAAAGCTGAATTTGTAGAAAGGTGCGCGAAACTCTAAAGGAGCCTTTCATGGCTTTCGGATAAGATCTATCTTACACTAATATAGTGTACCACAAAGGCTACCGCGTGCGCAAAATACCAACCGCTTTGCCAGTGGAGCTGATTTACTCGCACTTGATGAGATACACAGAGAGCTATTTTATCTTTCTAACTACATTTCATTCAAGGCTAAACCAATTAGCCGATGATCATCAGTGGTCGCAGGACAATGACGCGAAAAACAGAAACTCTCAGCGAAATAAAAACGCATGTGATTAATGAGTGTGTATGTATGACAAATCATTTGTGGTCGAGACGGTGCATGATAAATCCACGCTAAAATTCCTAAAACGGATTGTGTTTGTTATAAACGTCCTCAAATCACTCTGTCGATTGACTCTGATTTATAAACCCCCTGCTAATCAACGATTTCAATGGATTTCAGTGCAGCACCTTGGGACAGGGCACTGCTTTAAGTGACCTTGTTTACTGCTTAATAAAATTCTAACGGATAAATAAAATAAACACATTGGAAGCTACATACTAATTCTCGCGCACCTACAAAGAATGAATAAAAGCTAAATACAGCTAGATTTTAAACGTCTGTTCCCAATAACCTGTATTCAATTAGTTTATTTGTAACCCCAGGCATATAAGCTAAGAACGTTCATCGCGCTACCAACCCTTTGCAAAGTTGACAAAAAGAACAAATCATCAAAGACCAAACTTCTGGATATCTCGTCTAGCTGATTTTCGTGAAGAAGATAGGTTTCCTGGGCCCTTCTACTAAGTCACAAGAAAATTGACTTTTTTCTGAAAATTTTCAAAGAAGCATGACAATTTTATCGAACTTCTTAATGCTATAGAAGTGGTCCTTGCAAAGAGAAAACAAAATAGAAATTAACATCAATTCAAAAATGGTAGAAGTTTTAATTTTGTAGACACCACAAAAAAACATTTGTCAGCATTCTATATACAGATGACATGATGACACTTAAGCGAGAATGTCTTCGACTTGCAATATTACTGGAGAAAAAAATGGAGGTTACTTTCAATTTTTGACCTGAAAAATGACGTTCGAAATACGAATACGGCAAGAATCAAATAAAAGCTTTCTGGAACGATTAAAAAGCTGAATATGCTCGTTAGCTTTGCACTTAAAAACAATCGTTTGCCAAAGTTACTAATAATAATGATATAGAATCTAAAGCACGGTATTCGGAATAGGGAGGACTGTCAAACGTGTTATAGTTACAAGTGCTAAGAGCTGAATATGGCAATGTCGGTGAAATTCACAAAGCAATCTTTAAGGTTGATAACAACAACATAACACTGCGGCATGAGGCAGAAATGTCCAGAGAGACCGAATAAGTAAATCATGGTTTATCGATAATTCGAACAAATGAAGATCATTCAACAAGTTTAATGAATATTAAACAAATATAAGAGAAAAACAGTTGAATCGGTCGCGCTAAAGATTTGGTAAGGTCGCTCGTTTCTGTTCGCTTAGATAAATTTGAGGTAAATTAGTTCATTGTTCAAGCTCTGACTGGATTTGACACAGGCCGTCAGGCTTGTCTTGTTAAAAGAAAATACTGATTGATTTAATAAATGGGCCAATATGCATTTTCATTTCAAACTATAACATGCGGAGAAGTTAATACAGTGATTTTTTTAGCTTCAAATTTATTATGACAGCCGCTAATTGACTCTAGTTTAGAACAATAAAAGCGGCAAAGTGCAGATTAGCAGGGCTGTGTCTTCTTAAATATTGTCACAAGAGGAATATATTAAATGAAACCTCCTAAATGAAGACAGAGTTATGAAATGGGCAACCTTAAAAGGGAAATTACTATAAAGATTGACAAAAAGATGCGCCAAGAAAGCATGCAAAAGTTATGAATGGTTTGGATTATCTTCCCATTGAAAAGAAAGACGGTTTGAAAAAATTACGTTACCTTGCAGAGGTAGCCAAAAGGCAAATCTTTGTTGGGTAACATGGCAACGTACTCTTGAGTTGTTATCGAGCAAATAATTGAGAAAAAGGCCGATGTTATGCCTATCATTTGTTATCGATGCATGTTAAGATTCCAAGCTATCTAATGATAACCATTTTTAATCGTAGACATGCATATAAGCGACATTCTAAGTTGGAATAGATTGAAGCATTTGCAGTATGAGTAGCCGTTCTATGTTTTGACTAATTCAACTGCTTGAAGCAGAAAAGGAAGTTTTAACTGACAAAATCTTCCATTTTGCAGATAACGGCTCTGAAAATCAAGTTCAACCCATTTGCCAAGGCATTCCTTGATGCCAAAGAAAGGTACGTACCCTGAGTATGAATACCAATTATGATATTTGCACATTAATATTCATTCTGCTCTCAAAATATAAAATCAATGATTCTAAAAGGATTTCAAGTAAGCTTAATTCGTATTGGACTTACGCCATTCGGTGGGAGCAACGTCTGGGTGCTGAGCTATCAAAAAACCATTCATAAGAGACAAGAATATTTTGACGGCTTTAGTAAAAATCAGAAAGGAAAGAGACGATATTTCATTTTACGTTTAGGCAAAACAATTTTCACTGTTATTAGGACTACAGTGTGTTATTATTCTAGGTGCATAACGAGAATTTTTCTGTAGTTCATTGGTAGTTACCGTCATTTACGGCGATTAACATGAAATCATCTTAAGTGGTCGATAGATTCCTTGGACCGTGGACGTTAAAGCACCTGAATTCGCAGAAGGAATAGTCATAACAAACTTGTATAGCTTTGCGGTTCACACTATTAAAACATAAGTGATAAGTACACCAAGGATGATTAGCTTCATAATTGGAACTATAGTAATCACATATCTTTAGTTATTAACTCTAAATTCCACTGATAGGTTGATGACCATGCGACTGGACAACAGTCCAACTAAGACGCGAAATGCAATGAAAATTGTCATTAGATATAAAGACAAGGTCATATCATGTCGTTATCAACAGCATAACAACATGCAGATGGAAGATAAAATAATTATGAGATACCATAAAGACAAAGAATATTACGGGTTTCACGCCTAATTATTTTTACATCTGTTGTTTCTCGCTAATCATCAAACACAGGATTACACCGCGAATCGTCTGTGAAACTGGCAAGCTCGCAGTTTATGCACTGGCCTATCTGCCACAACTTCTGCTAACAAACTTAGGCCAATAGACGAACTTGCTGTATCTTTCGAAGAAATTTTCTGTTGAAAACGTCTTTTTAAATAGATAATCAAATTTCACCGATTATTTTTTCAGGGCAGAGCAACGTGACATCATCGAAAGAAGTTCCATGATGAGCTACGGTCCTTCCTGTAAGTATGCCCAAAATTCAGATAGCTGTATATTTTCTAATACTTTTTAAAAAAAATAGCTTATCTGCCATGTTGCTCGAACACAATATGAGTAGGCCGCCACTACAAGAGAATCCCACAATTGATAACAAATACATATAAAAAAGGCGAACAAAAGGAACAGGAGAAATTTGTGGACATAGCCAAATCCAGTAGCCGACGTAATCAAATCTTTGATCAAAGAAGAATTATCAAATCAAAACCAAAATAAGCATTACTGAGAAAAAAACTCTTTTAAATTTCAGGCAGCTGCTGTCATCCATCTGGTCCATACAGCCCACCGTCTCATCTTCCACCGCAACACACGATCGGCCTTCCTCCTCTCCTTCTCAGACCGGAAATGCGCATGCTAGATCCACACCAGTCTCCTTGCCACAGGCTCGGTCTCAAATTGCATCGCCATGCACCGTATAGAATAAGCCATCCAATAGACGACTCAGACTCACGACCGCCAATGTGTAAGTATTTCAAACCAAAAATTTTCGATTGAATCTATATTTTATACTTCTGGGAAAAACACTGGGAATATACGAAGATCTTTGATCGGCATTTCCAATTTTACTGAGATTTCTAGTGTGATTTGTCGACCAAAGTGTTCTTAAATCAGAAAGATATCATAACTTTCAATAATTGTATTCTTTATAAAATTTTCACCATTACTGATTGTATCAACAGGCTCATCACCTCCATCACACAGCTGCCCACGATCAAGCTCTCCAGAGAGACATAGGCATGTTTCTTCGCGGCACCCAGTTGACGACGAACATATCAAAATAATTGAATCGATGCGACATAGTCATTCGATATCCGACCGCCTCAAAGAGGAGAGCTACCTACGAGATATGTCACGTGGTCACCCATGCGAAGGACATGGTCACTCCTCTCATCCAGTCCCTTATGTGCATCTGTCACCAAGATCTGGTGCACCGTACTACAATGGTCACAAGGTCCTACCTTCAGTCTGCCATAGATCACCAATAAGATCCAGGAGCCGAAATCACAGATTATCACCACCTACACCCTACTCTAGCTCTTCACATCATGACAGTACACGCAGAGACTCTCCACATGAATTTGATGAGTCGCCAAGGCACATGAAACACCTCTCGGCAAAGCATTGATAAAGTGGTATAGACGTCCTTAGAAAAATTTCAATTGAAACAATAAAAAACGGCTTGAACAATCAATAATTTCATTACAAGGAAAAGTAAGCTTGGAAAAAATGGATTTCACCACTCTGAAAATGCAAAAAATCTAGAAATATTAATGAACCAAATGCCAGTAAAGATAAAACATGAATCTGAGAAGTTTATATAGCCAAGAAAGTTAAATTGCTTTGAAAATTTCACAATTTGTTGCATTTTGCTAAAACCATAATGAAAATTAGACTTTTAAATGCATCAAATAGTAAAGACTGACTGAGCTCATTGAAATCCAAGCAATTTTCCGTTTTAATAACAAGAATATTAACCTATTTATTCAAACTCTCGGCAAAGAAGATTTGCTTTGAGTTAAAACAGGTAGTTCAATTCAATGATATGCCTTGTAAATATTTCTAACTTAGAGTAACTTATCAAAAGTTTAGCTTTGCGGTGTCTGGTTTTTTCACGCATCTAATTCTCAGCAGAAAGTCAGTCACATCAATCAGATTAGACTAGATATTTTGTTTTCTCCTTGCACAGCAAAAGTATGTGAAATGGCAAGCTGGGAGGCTATCTAGCTGGCCTATTTGCTAAAACCTCTGACAACTTAGGCCAAAACACTAAATTCTATGATGATAAACAAAAGAAATACAGATGTGAGATAAACTGACAGTTGGGAATGATGCAATGAAGTAAGCGTTGAATAGCAATAATTTACGCTAAGCTATCATTGCTTTGTTAAATACAACGACGGAGCACATTTTAATGTCATTAATGTACAGAATATGTAAAGATTTTAGCACTGTATCGCATCGTATACAAACAACGTTTCGTGAAGGATATAAATATTATTTGAAAATTTGAGTGAAAGTATTTAACATGTCTCTTATTTCTTATATCCAGAAACAGCCAATGCTTAGTACGTGGAAAAGTCACGTGAACATAAAGCTTGAATTGCTGGAAAGAATATTTCTATAAAACTAACCAAATGACATTTTATTTCAAAGAAGAATAAACCAAACAGCTATCAGTTTCTCTTCTCAAATAGTTTCACCATATTACACGTACACAGAGGAAAAAAAAGAAAAACTTCGACAGTAAAAAGCAATGAGATATCTTTGTCTTTGGGCACAATTCCAGTGGATCACCTCTTTGCTTTTAGGCCCAAATTTTCATCAATACTTTCAAGCTTACATTATTTTTAATTATATGTTTGGTTTGAGAACTTTTCTGGTGGCACAAAATTTAAAAATGGCTTTGAAAAAAAACAAAAATTTTACAACATACTAAAAGCTTTTTTATCTGAAACTCCTTGGAGTATAAAAAGTCAGAATAAGGTTCCGAAAGAACACGATGAAAAATATATTTCCAGTTGTGGATCGGAATAGGGTAATCAGAAAAACGCGAGCACATGACCAGGATAGTTATTACATATTAACTATACTTTAAAGGAGCTCAAAGAGCCATGATTGCCGCATGAAACAGAATAGGCAAAGACAGGAAAAAGGTAAAAGAGCCTTATAAACCCAAAAGTGATGCCAACGGATTACTTCTTTCGACATGAATAATTTTAACAGTTTTTCAACGCCTCAATTTTACTCTAAACTCTAAATTAAAAAAAAAAATAACTTGAAACTTAATCAAGAAAGCATTTTGGTTGAAGTCTAACTTGCTGCCTTATACTCGCTCCAACCTCCCTTCTAAACGATAACCATAATTGTGGTAATAGTCCAGAGGCACAAGGGGGAGCATTACCACCCGAGGGGGGACTTTACCAAACCAACTTTTCCTAGATCAATTTTTGATGTAGAAACCAAATCCGGATGTTGATCGGGCGAGAGAGAGGGCTTTCCGAAATACAGGGGGGCCTTGTCTAAAAACTGGGATGCAGCCTATGAATGAACTGTCAATGACCATCCGAAGAGGAACTTTACCAAACCAACTTTTACAAGACTAGTTTTTGGTGTAGAATTCAAAAAGAAAAGTTGATAGGGCGGGAGAGGATGCCTTTCCGAGATTCGGGGTGGGGTTGTCCAAAAGTGGGATGCAGCCTGGGAATGAACTGTCAATGACCATCCGAAGAGGAACTTGACCAAACCAACTTTTACTGGACCAGTTTTTGGTGTAGAATTCAAAAATAAATGTTGATCGGGTGGAAGAGGACGCTATTGCGAGATACAAGGGGGCTTTGCCGAAAACTGGGGTAAATCCGCTGAATGTCCCATAAATAGATCAAGTTTATTTCTCATGCATGTTTAGCAAAAAAATCACTTCCAGTGGACATAGACGAGCACTGCTGTCAGCACTGGGGCTCTTGACATAGGAAGAGGGATGTAATTAGGGTCATATGGTTTGGAAAAAGGAATTATTGAATCAGTTTAGTCTCTGAGTTATCTCTACAACATTCAAACCTGAAACCATAACACATTTACATTAGCTTATTTTATCCAGATAAAAATTTCAAGATCATAAGCTATCATGTCGTTAGTTTCTCCTTTTTCTGCATTGTTACTAGATTGTTCAGTGTCCGTATTACCTTCATCATCTAGACTTTCTTTAAATCTAGCTGACTCAATAGTCCTTTTTTTATTTCTGAATATGGCGTTTCTATCCTGTCTCCAAAGACTTGCAATATAGTTTGAGCATAGAATGTGCTTCCTAAAGCGCAAACTGCCTGGAGGAGGTATCTCGGAAAAGCCTCCTCTCCCGCCCGATCAACACCCAAGTTTGAATTCTACACCAAAAACTGATCTAGAAAAAGTTGGTCTGGTAAAGTCCCTCGTCGGGTGGTAATGCTTCCCTTTGTCCCTCTGGACTCTAAGCTAGGGTGGAGAAAAATCCACAAATTAATCTACAGTTTACAACAATAAAAGCGAGAGTGAATTCCTAAAACTATCTTGAAGAACGAAAGCTGAGACGGGATGATGACGACTTCAAAATGACAAGACCACCCTTAATACTTAGACAAAGACAAGAGTTCACCGACACAAAGTAGCATTAAACACATTCGTTTATGAGGCCATCATGACAATAATCATTATGGGATCTAACTAGCACGTTTATCACAAGCTAATGAAACAACGTCATTACCACCGTAAAATGCATAACACTGTACATTTAACTTAATAACAATCCACTTAGTAACTGATCCTAGCCGAAAGGGGAATAAAGCGATTTAGTAAACACTAGAATTCTAGTATAAACTGCTTAAATGTAGCTAGAAGCAATAAAGTCACGAAGAAAGCACAAACTTTGCTTGCAAAATCATCTGGGAAGGGCTTATCATTGCTGCGAAGAATGTTAATTGTTGGATAAGAAATCGGCTAAAAGTATCAAAGGATATCGGTTGATGACTTTCGACATAGAGGCAAAATAACATTATTTGAATTTGTATAGCAATCTGCAATGATGAGTAAGATCTATTGGATAGTTTCTCTTTACATCTGTAAGATAGCCAATTGTAGACAACAACAATTAAGAAGCCTTAAAGCAAGTTTATCACTGGATAAAATCATATTGGAGGATTGTTTCTTAATGGAAAACGTTGATCATGACGTTAACCGCTTCTATTGGGTTCCCAAATATGCGAAAAATGATGAAATATTTTAAAAAGAAATACACATAGTCTTAAGGTCTTTGCAGATAACTCGTAAAAAATAAGTTAAATCTCTTCTGAGAGACAGCACTGATCGAGACAATTATTTGCTGATACAGCCCATACGGTATAGAAAACGACTTTGATTGAGTTGTGAACTCTTACAGAAATTCGCGTAGACCTGACAATGAATACGATGATCAAAAACCAATAGAAACAAGAATTGAAAAGATGGTCATAAATATTTATCTTTCAAAGACAATAATAACTACAGTTTTTAGATTGTCTTTGTATTGCAACAAAGTTTAAAAAACATACCGAAACAACACCAAAGATCACCATCAGAAGCAAAGAACAAACATATTGTTTTAAAAATTTCCCCGAAAATTGTAGTTATGAAATTCCTGTCATAACAGTAACCAAGGATCAAATACTACAAAGCAATATCCGCAGCAATGAAACAGCTTTTGGAAAATATGACGTAACGAAATAGCAAAACAGAAACAAAGAACAACCTAGGCAGAATGATTCTTGGGCAGATAAGGTCTTCACAAATAAATATCCACCGAAATGAACAGGAAAGCGTAGCTTACAGGAGATGTGGAAAGTTCACAAAACTAGGATTTACTTCTCGAAAACAGAAAATAAGCACCAAAAAGGTCTTCGCAATCTGCTTGAACGGCTTGAAGACAATAAGATATTTTGGTATTTCATTCCATGGCTTTGAGTATCTTTTCAAAGAGGATAAAATGTTTAAGAGAATGAAAGCTTGCTGGAAGAGTAACAGAAATGGATTAGCCTTTTAGATATAAAAATTGGCTTACAGACAAATGTGCCAAATATTTGGAAGGTTCTAAGTAAACATTCAGTTGAAAGTTGAAAATAGCTAATAGGTTATTGAAATAACTTCTTTCGTCTCGATCTATCTAACCAGCACGTACGCTAGTATCAGGCAAAGTTCTGTAAATCCTCTAAATGGGTACATAAGGAATTTACTCCCCTTGAAAACGGATGACTTTTATTTCCAAAAGATTAAAAATGCTCTTCTACCTACGTCTTTGCTAAACGCTAAAAACAATCAGTAGAAAAGAAATAACCGATATAAGACTAAATGGGAGGATAAATGATGAGCTGAAAAAACTAATGATAGAGAAGTTCAAATCATAGAAGAGTCTTTATTAAACGAAGCTTATTAAAGATAAAAAAATTCCACAGGTTGAGAAAAATGACAAGCATGCAACACGAAATATTTTTGGTGCAATGTTATTTAATCATCACATTAGTAAGAGGTACAGCTTTCAAGAAAACTCTCGCAATCAAGTCAACAGTTAGACAGCTGAGCGTAACAAAGTTTCGCAGCTAGTACAATTGAAATGTTTGATCGAGATGAGACAGATTGCATAACATTAGAGTAAGAATCAAAAATCAAAGCCGTAACCAAAAAAGGCCAGGGTACCCGTTCCAATATTTATTTAAAGTATTCTCCCTCTCTGTTATTAGGTATAGGCAACTCAATTCCTTCGTGGAGATATGAAGCAATGCTGTCACTAACGCACAGCCTAATTTGTAACAGACATATATCATGGTTGTTCTGCAAGATTTTGAGAACTGATAAATTTGAGATTTTGAGAAATTGAGCACAAATGACTAATATAAACATGATGTTGTAGAATGCATTGGAACACATGTCTTGTAACCCTAACCCTAACTCTAACCCTAACCCTAACCCACCTTCACTTTCTTCGTGAGCATGTAAAGCTATTCCCTTACCGCAAACAATATACGTTATAGTTAACATAGAGGGAATGGGAACTGGAATAAATTGTGTTACGAAAGAAAGATACAAGGTTTCAGAATATAAGTACAATATTTGTGTCCTGAAGACCTTTCACCATGCCTTGCAAATAAATCGTCAAAGAAGCAACACAACCTGAAAGCTAGCTGCATTTGTGCTTCTAGCCTGTCTACCATTGTGCAAAATGTATCAAACTGGAAAGACACAAAGAGTTTTGTTCTATCATTCAAAATGTGAGCATTTATTCGTTTTGGAATGCAAAAATATTATTACTATTAAGCAAACGAAAGCGGAAATTAGATCTTTTGAGGCGGGGCCTTGTTAGGAATTATCTTAACTCTCATGGAAATTGAAGATCTAGGATTGAAAAGATGCCTCATTCTGTTTTCTGTGTGCAATTATTCCATATAAAACTGCATTGATATTTTCACAAAGTTTTGATAACACAAGAGATCAAATTTACTTCACATCCTCTGGCACACC